TAGATGCGTCCTCGAATATCCTTTCACATGCAGCACTGTAGCTTTTGCTCTTTCTTCATATTTTCAAAACTCTTTATAGCTTTTGTTAACTTTTCTTGTTCGTACAATAACACATAGTTTGGGGTGTTTGGAATGAATGGGCACTTGTTTATCACAAAATTGAATGCCCATTTTGAAGTCGATTTCTCTTTTATAGCACAGGTGTTCACATAGCAAAAATTCATGATTTAAAATTTTTCAGTAAAAGTTATAGATGTATCCTCGAAATCCTTTCACATGCAGCACTGTAGCTTTTGTTCTTTCTTTATATTTTCAAAACTCTTTATAGCTTTTGTTAACTTTTCTCGTTCGTACAATAACACATAGTTTGGGGTGTTTGGAATGAATGGGCACTTGTTTATCACAAAATTGAATGCCCATTTTGAAATCGATTTCTCTTTTACAGTACAGATGTTCACAGAGCAAAAATTCTTGATTTAAAATTTTTTAGTAAAAGTACAGTTTACTTCTTCACACGTTTCTTCACATTTCGTGGTGCACGTGGTTTGGTTTTCTATGTAATTGTTTTAATACTTCTTGTTTAAATTTACTTGAGCATTCATACCAGTGAATGTTTTGTAGTAAAAGACAGTGTAAAGTACAGAATAAACAATAGAGTGAATTTAAAATTATTTAGACTGTAATGTCATAGATAAGAGCCTCTTTAATTATAAACTTTAACAATACAAATTAATTTGCCTAACTGCATATACATGAGCATGGCTTTCAAAAATGTTCTACCTTCTTCAAAATAAATCGAGTCAAGATCTTTGCGAACCACAATACACTGCGCCGCCCATGCTTATTGTTAAAATTTATAATTAATTGACTCTCTCAATTGTGTAAGAATTGAATACGTTCGTGCTGACTTTTGCCAACCTTAACCGAAAACCTTATAACAGTAAGTGAACGAAATACCACTATTTTAATAATTTATACAACATATTCTTCGAGATATTCTTGTAAAAACATTTAGACCGATTCGGGCAAAGAGCTTTTTGAAGAATATATCCAAGTTTATGTTGTTGAACCTGCAATAGAATAAGTCCTTTAATGCTTTTTGTTTGTTTGTTAACAATTCTTGACTGAGACAAAAGAGAACAGTTATATCACTTTTTTATTGAGACAGAATGAAACATAACACACTGTTACAAACATATAATAGCACACTGTGTCAAAGATTTTAATCAATTGTTTCGCTGTTGGCCAATTTTTAAACAAAAAAATTCCCAACAACGTTAACAAACGTCTCTTTTGACTAACATCATCATGTCCTCCTCACCTTATTGTATATGGATGTCTTCAACTAATTCCTAAGGAAGAGGTTCTTTAGCAAATGCTAATGTATTTAAAAGTGACTGAAATTTTTCTTTACTGATTTGAAATGAATCTAATTCGTCACTTATTCTTTTTAAGGAAATTTCTTAATATTCATTGAGGTCCTTGAAAGTAAAACTGTTCAAACGTTAAAAATCTCTGTCATCGATTTTTCGTGTAATGTTAAAAACGTGTGTTTAAACATCTTTTATGTGCATCATTATCGTTAGTTTTCTTTCTCCCTATATTGCAAAACATTCTCTAACTTTGTTAACTTTTCCTGTTTGTACAATAACACATGTTTTGGAGAGCTCCATCTCAATGGTTAAATTATGAACGTAAATCATGAAGTCAATTTCTAATGGAGTTTACGATTTACTTTTTAACAATCAGTGACAAAGACAGCCAAATTTTTAATTTTGCTAGAAAAACATATGGCAAAGTTACTATTGTTTTATCATAAATTTACATTTCTCAAATGCATGAAGACGCAAATATTCATTTAACAAAAGTAACAGTTGGGCTGTCTTTGTCTCTGTTAACAACTTAACACATCGATGATTTGTATATCAAAACGCAAAAATTAAAATGTATCAAAAATGCTTTTCGTGCACGATAAAATTGATTAAAGTACTAACAACTTACTCTAAGTGTAAAATAGTAACAAAAAACGTGCCACGTGCAGTATTAAAACCATTCTTCAGAAAATACATTTGCATGAAAATTTTGATTACAAGACGTTTTAACAAAACATAACCTTAGGTGAAATAACTAATACTAGTTTGCCTTTTATATGTTTGTGTGACAAGATGAAAGTCAATAAAATTATTTTGTTGTACAAGTAAAATTATTGTCTGACACGAAAGTCCTTTCTGCTGTTGATTTACCTTCATAACTGCTTTTCAATTGCCATCTTTAATTGATGAAGTTAAGTTTTCCTGCATGATCTCCAAAATTGTTGACATTGATGAATAAGAACTACCGCTAAGGTTGTCGAAACGTCAGTCAACAACAACAAAAACATTCTTTCTCAGGACTCTACTAACCTGGACGATCTACATCTACAAACAAGTAACGATACTCCAGAGTTCAAACCATGCATTTACTTTTTTGTTGACATTATCGTCAAACTGTAATCTCTTTACAGAAAAATCAGAGTCAGACGAAAGTCAATTTATAAAACCATACGCAAACAGACATTAATCGAAATGTAAACAATGTTGGAGATCATGCATGAAAACTGAATGAAATTTTCTTTAAGATAATGTAGTTGACATGTCATGATCAAACATGGGAAGAAACTTTATCATCAAATATCAAATTTACTCTCGTGGCAAGATGATTTTTGCGCATTGTACCGGGACACTTAAAGAAAAAATTAAAAGAAGTTTGCGTTTACGACAGATACGTAACCTTGAATAAGTCCCAGTCTCTTGCGGGAGAAGTAACTTCATTTTCTTAAAATATTTCAAATCAATCAATTGTAAATCATTAGAAATTATAAATCTATAATCAAGAAAGAAAAACGTTCTAATGTTTACATCCTCAGTAAAACTACAAATAATTTGTAGGTTTTTGACGTCAAATATTTTCACGTACCAATCGTAGTCACTTATTAATAATTTATCTGCTGAAGGTGAAAACTCTGCGTAAGTAATACCGAATTTGCATTGAAGACCTTTATCTGCCATTTCTGTGGCGATTTCCTCCTTAATTACGTCATCCCAACCATTAACAAGTTTGTCTTCATGCCACACACAGTAAATTATCTGATCATTAAATTCATCTTTAGCAAACACGTGATACTTAGAGCTACATGCAAATACGTGCACATTTCGATAATTTTCAAAATTCACTGATGTTTATTTCGTTTGTTTTCAACATTGAATAGACAACAGAATCAGTTTTTTTAAACAACACCAAGAATGAAGACCAACAGTGAACAAAACACCATCCTTAAAACATGCAACAGACGGTAAATGATCGTCGTAAACAAATGATTCATAATTACTCTCTACATCAAATATGTGAACCACTTTTTCTTTCTTAGTAACACACAAATATTTTCCAGAATTAGAAAAACACAGTGAGGTCACAACATCATTACATCTAATACTGCGTTTCTTCTCACCTTTCTTAACGTCCCATACTGTTAAAGTATCTTTGTAACTAGTGACCATTGTGTACTTATCCTTAGAAAAACATTTGTTGGTAAACAACTTAGAAGTAGAATCATTACAATGGAACGGACTGGAAGAAATTTTGCCATTAATATCAAATATCTTATCAAGCTGGGAAGCAAAAATCAAATCTTCGAATGGATGAAAGACAACGCAAAATTCTTCCTCTTTATATTCCTTAAACTGACCAGCAATATTTTTTATCCATAACCATCGGTTTGTTCTCAATGAAAAAAGTTGCACGATGAATCCTTCATAACCACAGACGACATAATCATGACTTCGTGAAAAATCAACAGACTTCAACCCATGAAATAAACGTAATAATCGAAATTTTACAAAACCAGTGTTTCTGCAACATACATATGGTGAATCTTTGAAACGTGTTTGAAGCATTGTGGTGGCCTGAGGCGACAGATCTTTGACTTCATTGGCAACGTTTTGCAAAAAAAACACTTCATTGCCAAAGCGCATAGAGTACTTCACTACAGAGTAAACTTCATTAAATAACATTCGAATGTTCTCAGAAATATGAAAGTACACATCATGTGCGTTGAATAAGGAAAAATTTTCAAAAGTCCGACGACTATCAAGCAACACAGAAGCAACTAAAACTTCTAAGTCAACAAGATATTTACCAACATTTTTAACGATATAATCATTATCAGAAATATGAAGTAAATGAAGCAACCAATACTTGACTGAATATCTCACTGACGCATGTTTAATGACGTCATAGTTTACACCTTCAGCTTTGAGGTTATCCAAAGATTTTAAACAAAATTCTAAAACAAGTCGATGACCACAAGAAGTTTTTACTGAGTAAATATGTTTTCGATCATCCAACAACCAATCATTTAAAGATTTGTGAAAAAACGAAACACATCCTTCTCCATTGGTAACAAACAGACAAGAGATAATTTTTCTAACCTCAAGTGATATGCGATTCGAATTCAAACAAAGAACGTCATCGATCATTTCCCAAGGAAGAGGTTCTTTAGCAACAGCCAAAGTATTTAAAATTGACTGAAACTTTTCGTTACTGATATCAAACGAATCTAACTCCTTACTTAATCTTGTTAAGCAGATTTTGTAATATTCATTGAGATCTTTTGGAATGGAACCTTTCAACAAATCCTGATTTTTGACTTCGCTGCTAAGAAGTGATGCAAGCAACATAAGTCCGTCAGCTTTTTCTACCAATATGTTTTTAGCATCAGATAGGCTGGCAGTAGCGCCGATTCTTTTTTCAATCAATAATTTAATATCCTCTAAATTGCGATCATCGCTACAATTAATGAACAGTGGATTTAATTTTTCGAACTTATTTAAAGCAACTTCGTTAGGTCGGGTTGTAATTACAAATCGAAAACAACGTGGAAGATTATGTAAGTGATTAGCAATCAAATTAAGCAAGGTCATCTCTTTCTGGATAACCACATTCATCAAGAGCATCCAACACAACTAAATTCGCTTGGGAACTTCGAGAATATTAACAAATAACTCAGTAAAAAGAAGGGAAAATAATCCTTTAACATTCATGTTATTCAAAGGCTCAGAGAGTTTCCCCGAAAGTTTTTCCACAAGAAGTTGTTTGTAAGCAGGAAAATTACGACTAACTTGCATCGCTAAAGATTGAAGAAGTACATTGGCTTTATTGTAACGACTGTTGTTGTGTTGAAAGAAATGAACTGCAGTCAAATATTGTCGATAACGTTTACATAAAGTAGCTGCAATTACAGACTTTCCCATGCCAGCAACAGCAGAAATAACAAATGCACGATTTTGAGAACTGTCGTCTTCAAACCAAGCTAAAAACTCATCAAAAACCCATTCCCGTGTTCCCTTTACAAAATTTTCATAATGATGTTGAATTTCACTTTCAAAGTTACAACTTACAAGGTTTTTCGTCAAAATATCTTCTAATGGACGTGAGTTAATTTGACGTTTTATTTCTTTCTGATTACTTTTCATTTCCTCCTGATTACTTTTCATTTCCTCCTGATTACTTTTCATTTCTTCCTGATTACTTTTCATTTCTTCCTGATTACTTTTCAATTCTTCCTGTTTACTTTCAATCACACACAAACGATTCTGTACATCAAATTTGAATTCGTCCCATTCTTTCACAATTCTTTCGCATTCTTCATTATCAAGCAACTCATTTTTCAATCTATCTATTTCTTCCTGACTTATTCCTAAACGAACTAATGGTTCGCTTATTTCCAGCCAAAAATTTTCAAAGTCATCAAAGCTTACTGAAGTGTCAGGTAAGTGAGCAAAACGTTCATTACGAAATAACCTGATACGGGTAATATCTGCTTCAGTTGAATGATCATTGGGGTCAATTACTGACGTCCATATTGGATCACGAGGTGGTTTTAAACCACAAATATTACACAGGAGTATACAAAGTAAAGTAATGTCAAACTTATTTTCATTTGGTAATATTGGAGGAGGAGGATACAGTAGATCCCATTGATGTTGCTTGATAGTGTGATTATTTTTTAGAATCAAAAGCTGATTATATATTTTAGGATTATTTAAAACATTAAATAAATCAGTACCTGACAGTTGCTTCCTCAATGTTATTCTCAAAGCTTCTCCACCAACATCAACGATTAATCTCATCAACTTAAAACCATTAGTTTTCTTGTTTCTGCTTAAGACTGATCCCATGTTGCCACCTGCAGGAAAAAAAATAGGTAAGACTTCCATGGTACAAATTCATTGTGATTATAAAAAAAACCTGGGACCGGTTACATGAAGGCAGAATAGCTCTATCCATAAGATGGCAAATTGTTTTGAACTTTTACAAAATCTCTTAAAATGGAATAATATGTGAATTGAACTGAGCAATCATTGAAATATAATATTGCTTCAAAGATCACAAAATTTCTTTCCCCTAAGGAAAATATAAACACCTTTTTCTACAAGTTTGAAAATTTTACTATCCGACAAACAAAGCTATCCAGGCTTCGTGCAACCGTCCCCAGATGTGAAAGGTACGTAAAAAATAGATACGAGTGTGTACATGTAAGTAGCCTTGACCTGAGTTACAGTACATGGAACAAACAGTAGTCAGTAGTGCAACTGCTTATGTTGTATTTTTCATTAAATGAAATGAAGTCCCAAGCCCATTCCCAAGGTCAAGTCCCAAGGTCATTTCTTAATAATAACATGAGAAATAAAAAATATTTTTATGTCAAAATGCCACAAAATGAAATCATTCCCTCCTTTGGAACTTCTCTTTGGTACAAAACGTACTCTGTGCTCAATGTTTAATAAAAATGCCCAGTAATTATTATTATCTTTCCTTTTTATTGCTTTTCTACGCTCAGTGCATGTTATGTGTGCTGGTGTTCACGTGCTAATATCGTGCAAAGAAAGCTTGAAAAAACTATATAATTGCCATGTATTTATATATCTCATAAATTTCAATAATTGAACGAAAATTCTTCGCCATTTTGAATTAAGACGATTTTTTTAAATTAATATTATATCTTATTTGTCTAACAATGGTGTGGTGAAAAGATATATCAAATCGGTTTGTTTTGTTCTACGAATATTTGCTTATTGAAAGGACTATGTTGACGATGATTCTGTTCCAATTTAAATTTTTATATTTATTGTTAAGATGAGGAGGCATTGCACATTGTACATATATCATTGCGGATGTAGTTATTTTGCATTGGGTCATAATATATTTAAATTCTTTGTCATTTTTGGCAGTGTAACTATCAAGTTCCAAGCATTGACTATACTAGACCAAACAATATTATTCGTTATCGCTCGCATTTGCGACTATGAACGAGGACACAGCCAAAGATATCACGACAGATAGACAGACACTGTCTCACTCAGACACTTTTTTAGTATTGCCAACAAAAATTTATTTAGCAACATGAAATCTGTCTATGATTTTAAGCCTTTCTGAGAAAAAAATTCAGAAATTTGGTCAAATCAACAAACTTTTATGGCATCTTGAAGTTGCGCATTTTTGGCCGAACGCCGTCGTTTTCTATAATACAAAAGAAACTGGCACTAGAAGGTACTTTGACGTCATCCAATATAGTCAGCATTGGGGCATATTTAACTTATATTAAACATATACGTTCTTTCACGATGTTTAATTATAATATTTGAGAAAATTATGTCTTGCGAAGAAAGCGATGAATCAAAATCAGAATTGAGTGTTCAGTCAGATAATTCTGACAAAAACTTTATTCCGCGATACGTGACAGAAAACTCGGAAAGCAATGAATCTTGAGCGATCATGATTCGGATTTTGACTCCAAAGCATAGATGGTCGGAAAGACACAAATTCTGATCTCATCTTTTTAAGCCCTGGAAAATTGGCTTTCTTTTGATTCGGCAAACTACTACACTGACGCTCCAAATCTTCTGGTTTTAATCGAGGCGAACAAAGTGTTGAAGCATTGGAAGGCTCAAATACGCGCTTTGCTTTAAAACCCAGATATTCCGTCTTCGCTTGGCCTCGGGACTTTTATCACTATAAGGCATAGTGTGAAGACTCATACGAGAGCAAAGGCTTGACTCATTCGTACAATTGGCCGCAACGCAACTATTTACCTTTTTTCTGCTATTACTAGTGCAAAGGCAATGCTTTTAGACGCTTATAGACTCAAGTTGTGCTTCAGCCAGCATTGACTTGATAGCAATTAAATACACGACTCGTGTAACACGAGTACCTTGGATGACGTCAGAAAATTAGCTACTTTCAGACTCCTCATTATCACGGACATCGTTCACAAGAATATACGATTTTAGTAAATTTAACGCTATTACAAAAATCAAACGATTGGACCAAATTTAAAATTTTTCCCTAAGCGAGGCTTAAAATTATCGACAGATTTGAAAAATTCATAACCATTATCATTGTTTAGAAGGTATAATGATAAAAAAAAAGAGCAGGTGTAATTTATTTGGTCCAATACTTCATTCACGACTTAAGACCTGAGGAAGACATAATGTAATTGGGACACAGTCATAGGAACATATAGTACAATTCTATATAGAACATACAGTAGATTGCATTGAATATTTTTGTGCCATGCATATCTTATTCCGCAATTGATTACCATAGTGGCAGTCAGACACCACCATTTTTTGACCAATAGGTGCACTGAGCTGGCAAATTACACCCAGTAATATAATTATATATACAGCAGTAAGTTTCACAGAAAGTGGTCTTACTGTATATTCTCTATACTGTGGTTGGGGTGGCATAAACATTTGGATGTAATGATCCCTAGACATCAAAGGTTTTCAAAGGAACTTAACATATGTAGCCTATATTATGCATACATAATATGATCTCCAAATTAACAATCATCCTACAGTCCTGCTACAGTTTTTCTTGCTAAAAAAGGGGGTGTGTCAACAAATCAACAAAACTGATGAAAGCAATAAAAATGGTCAACAAAACATTGTAATAAGAAAACCAATGAAAAATTGGTAGACATAATTTTTATGAGAGTTGACCCAAAATTGTGTAAAAGATGTAAGAATTGGTACGCCTATGAACAAAACCATTTTTCATAGGTTAGATTATTATTCCAAAAAAAAATAGGCAAACTAAATGAAGTAGCTAGCAACTGAAGAATAAAAACATATCATATACATAAATTAATATGAGCCCCCCCCCAACAATTATTGATCTTCCTGTACATGAATGAATCCAAGTAAATAGATAAATCTTGTAACAAAAATATATTAAGCGACCACACATTGTCCACAATCATTGATCAGTTATAAAAGATGAAGAACACATATAAAATGTTGACTTTAGTATGTTATTTCAGTAGCAGATCAACACATATCAACAAACAAGTTTTATCATATCAAAAGTTTAAAATATGTTGATGTACATAACTAAGTGATGAAAACCCTCTACAACGATCATTTTAAGATTAAACGATGAAAAAAATAACTTTTGAAGAAGAACAAATCATGTTAAACACAGTGATTTAATGTTCTGCTTCATTTATATTCATTTCCTTCCCTAAACAATGTTTGAAATCTAAATTGAATATCTTGTTTATGTTTGTCGTATTTTATTGTTTGACAAAAACCATGTTAAAATAGTTATCACGAATAATAAAGCAATTTTCGCACAAGTTTTAGAGTTGAACTGTAACTACAATGATCATTGTTCTTACAAATATTTAAATGACAAACCATCTTTGTTCTACTTATAGATAGGTAAATAAAATAAAATTAATTCGAGTCGCCCTCTAAGGATGTAAAATCTTATTCTTACCGTTATATTAGATGGAAGGAATATTCCTTGATATCATGATTACATATCGCCAGAAAAATATTTGTGGATGACAACATAAGAATTGCACAAACTCTTCCTAATTCATATTCAATTTAAGGGATGGGCGACTACAGATTACTGAGTAATCGATACCGCTAGATACCAGGCTTCTAGCGAAACAATTCATACCATATATGTCGATACCATAGTAGCATCGTAGTAGTTTCTATTACTCTACAAACACTGTAATGTATTAGCTAAAATTCATAGATAAATTTGTCTTTGTACGTTTTATATAACGAAATTTATATACAAGAAACTCAATGTGGACGTAGCTTTGTCCCCCGTTTATCGTGTCCGCCGGGAAAGAGTTAACATTGATTTCTATTGTCTCGGAACTTGGAATCATCCCATAATGAATTTAATATGGCATTATAGCATGCTCAATGCGTATCCGCGTACCTGGTATTTCACAATTTAGCCAAACCGAAGAACTTTGATACAAATAGTAGAGTGGCTATCAATATCGTTTTACTCACCACATATGACCTAAACGTCTAATTTTTCATTTCAACAGGTTGCACAACGTAGTCACCAATATAATTCAGAAAATTATTTTCAATAGAAGATGCCAAGAAGTATTAGTGACGATCATGAATGCATGACAAATTGCTTTTCTGAAATTCCGAGACTGAAGATTAGCAGATAGAGTGGGTACATGAGTGGGTACAAAGCACCGGTCGGCTTAACAGTTCTTCAATTCAAAATGTCTTTAGGCAACTATGGAAACAATTTTGCTTTGCAAAAAAATGCACGAAAATTTGAGAAAGCTTGTAGATTGATTGCATAAAATTTCTTGAAAATTATGGGTAGACCTCACATGGTCTTCATATATGGCAGAATACTCTTTTCTGTGTTGATTTTTATAAGTGAAGAAATTATGGCTTTGTAGTATTACCGTAATTGAAATATTACAGTAAATTATAGTCTTGTTTTTATAAAAGATCACAACTTTTTCTGAGCATGTTTTTTCTTTTATGTACATAAGAAATTATCTGTATTGTTGCCAGTGAGGTGCAGGCAGGAAACGGATTCTCAATATAAATATTACAGCCCAACATATAATTTTCAACATAGCCATAAGCAATTTGGTTTTGTGAAATTTATTAAAATAGTGACGTTTCGTCTTGACTCAAGACATCTTCAGATAAATATAGAAGTTAACAACGATTTGTAGGTATATATATAGTTATTTACATAGTTAGAGGTATCAGACTACTGTGGATGTGTAAGTGTGATGTGATGTATGGTTAGGTTGAGGTGTTGCGACTAGAAAAGCTTAAGAGGGATGGAGCTGCCTTGGGTGTTAAGTGAAGGTTTTAGTTTGGAGATGAAGATCATGTCTCAGAAAATATTTGAGGTTGGCGCAGAAAATATCGGTTATAAGTAGTGAAAAAGTTATAGAATTCTTATAAGTAGGGTTATAAGGAAGGAAAAGAAACTAAATACACAAGCTTCAGTTTTATAAATGCACAATGTCAGACAGACATCTCGAGCTACTCAGCAGTCTCGACAGCAGCCTGCAAAGTCAGAACTTAGTAAGATGAAGTCATTTTTGCAGTTTATCTTAGTCATTCCTTCATCTATAGTATTTAACAGCAGTGATATATCATTGTGGTAGCCAGGATTTTCTATCAAGGAGGAGGAGATAAAAGCAAAGGGGAGCCACAACCGTTGTTGTAATTAATGTTAATAAAACAATATATTTTAGTGGTCCAAAGAATTTTGCCAGTGGGCCTGGCTCTCTGTCTAGCTATGTCACCATTGATTGATACAAATGATTTCCTTTGTATTGGATAATTGATAATTCCCATGTGACATTTTCTTGAAGAAAATTTTTTTATTGGCTGGTGGTCCTAGAAAATGGAATATTTTATGCAGCCATGCCCATATGCTTGAATAAAGCATTATAATTTATGCAATTTCCCAAACAGATGTGACTGTATGGCAAATGCAGGAGAAAGCACCTTTAATACTGCAATTTGCATAGAGCTGTACAACAAGTATGGGTCTATGACATAGGCTAGCCAAGATTGGTGAATATTTTTTTGAAACTCTACTTTTTATATTAACATTTTGTAGGGAAAATGACATACCTCTTGCACCTTCTCTAACCAAGGCTATGATGGGTGTACACTCCTAGCTTTGCAACACTCAGTAAATCCTTCCCTGTGACCATTTATGATTACTTGACAGTAGTTTCAGACTTCACTATTTATTTTAGACTTAGAGGCAGACCGACCTGTTCTTGACTCACTGCAAACTCTCAGAAAAAGTGCTGTTTGAAGCAAGTAGCCATTTCTATGTAAAATATAATGACTCAATAATTTCGAATAGACATCAAATGTATGAGCTCCATTGAAAAGATTTACCTAACCTTTTATCCTTAAGTGCTTACATCAACATTCAAAGCTCTTCATCTAACTCTAAGTCAATGTCTTGATACTCCATCCAAAACACAGGTCTACATTTACAAGTCATTCTTTAAAAACCTCCATCACAAAGGTCATTAGAGCCTTGTGTGTTGTTTATATTTAAATAAAAATAGGTTTTTCAGATTTTTTCCCGTTTTTCTTAAATACCAATTCAGCCTACTGACTACATTCCAGGCCTTCCCTTCAGTATCCATTCCAAAGCTCCACCTCCCTCTCCCCCCCCCCTCACTCCTCTAGCCCTCTGTACAACAGTCATCTAAGCTTTGACCCTAAACTCTTCACAAGATCCTACCATAACTACGAAATACAGTACCGACCTCGAGTAACATGACATGACTCATGACTCGCGAGTATCGAGTGGGAGTGGGCGAGTGACTCGCGAGTCAATTGCGAGTCACTCGAGAGTGCGAGAAGTTTGCGAGTGAATAAGTGACTCGCTGTTTGCGAGTGAATCGAAATAACTCGCAAAAATTTCTTTCTCCAGTATTTGATATTGACAAACATGATCTTAAGTGTAGTGACAAATAAAAATCATTCAACATTTTGAAGGCAACGGTTTTATATCTCTTTATGAAACATGGGAGCAAAACGACTATTCATTTGAAGCAATAGCTCGGGAACTAATGACGTTAAAATGTTTTGAATTTTTTTACAAAAGCATTTCAATAACTTCACATTTCTCATCGCACAAACGTTATTCGTAAAGCAGTAAAGACCATAGAGAAATTAGTGAGAAAATCAAAGTAACTCTCAAAGATTTTCTTCTAACAGTCTTAGATGGTTGACATTTATTATCTTAAGATAAAATACATTCAAAAACGAATATTGTTTGAGGTCAAATATTTAAGGAATGTACCTATGCGATGAGTGTGCGTATAATCTTTTAGATTTGGTTCTGAAAGAACTTCATTGACTTCACGTTTTCGATGTATTACACAGACGATATTGATAAAGGCCATAGACATTTAATAGCAATCAATGGAATAAAGCCACGTGTATAGTTAATGGCTAGACATTTTGCGATTCACTTACCAGTAGAAATGTTTAAAAATGAGATTAGTTTCTGAAACAATCTGTCTACGTATTTAACTATTTATAGGACATGATTTCATTTCATAGACCAATTGATAATTGTGAATCACACCATCTCATTCATTTTTGTCGGCATGTCATTTGCACACTGCTCACTCGCAAAATGTTTTTACTCGCAAGTGACTGGCAACATTTCGATTTACTCGCAAACAGCGAGTCATTTATTCACTCGCAAACTTCTTGCACTCGAGAGTGACTCGCAACTGCATCGAGAGTCACTCGCTCAATCGCAACTCGTCACTCTCGAGTGACTCGCAATTGACTCGCGAGTCACTCGCCCACTCGCGACTCGATACTCGCGAGTCGTGTCATGTTACTCGAGGTCGGTACTGAACGTTATTTGTGGATACAAAGTTAGCGGAAAACAACATAACGTAAGAGACCACTACCTCATCCCAACTCCAATCTAATGATCGGCCAAGGGCATTTTCTTTGATTGCGGGCTCAATACACCAACTTTGCCAAGACTCACGCAGCGGCATTGTAAACTACAATTCAAAAAGATACACACAGCGTCATATTTACAGTTCACTTTGATTGGGAGTATGTTTCACCTTGATTTCATTCTTTGCCATAATATCATAAAGTGCTTCAAAATATTCAGATGGATGATCTTTACCATTATTTATAGCACAGTTCATTTTTTGTTATCTTTCGCTTAACCTGAAAAAGAATTTTACGTGATTACGATGAAGTCACGTGATCTTACGCAAAGTCAATTTCACACCAAATCATGGTAAAGTCTGAGTAACCTGTGAACTATGTAGATCTGTACTCAACATGCTGATATTGTAAGTAAGAACATTGGAAGCGTCGGCTCTAGCAAACACATCGTTACTAAATATTGATGATAAATATAAAATAAAAGTCTATCACAGACAGTCAAACCTAGCTATATCTAGACACTAGGAAACACATCGTTACTTAAATTTAAATGATAAATATAAAATAAAAGTTTATCATAGACAGTCTACCCTAGCTATATCTAGACACTAGCAAACACATCGTTACTAAAATATAAATTTTAAATATAAAATAAAAGTTTATCATAGACTGTCTAACCTACCTATATCTAGACACTAGCAAGCACATCGTTACTAAATATTGATGATAAATATAAAATAAAAGTTTATCACAGACAGTCAAACCTAGCTATATCTAGACACTAGCAAACAAATCGTTACTTAAATTTAAATGATAAATATAAAATAAAAGTTAATAATAGACAGTCTACCCTTGCTATATCTAGACACTAGCAAACACATCGTTACTAAAATATAAATGATAAATATAAAATAAAAGTTTATCATAGTCTGTCTAACCTAGCTATATCTAGACACTAGCAAACACATCGTTACTAAAATATAAATGATAAATATAAAATAAAAGTTTATCATAGACAGTCTAACCTAGCTATATCTAGACACTAGGAAACACATCGTCACTAAAATATAAATGATAAATATAAAATAAGAGTTTATCATAGACAGTCTTACCTAGCTATATCTAGACACTAGCAAACACATCGTCACTAAAATATAAATGATAAATATAAAATAAAAGTTTATCATAGACTGTCAACTCTAGCTATATCTAGATACAATGCTTGCAAGCAATTGCGATACAAGGAACATAAGTCCGTCAGCTATTTTAGCCAAAGTATTTTTAAAATCAGGAAAGCTGTCGATAGAGCCAATCAATAAATTAATGTCCTTCAATCGATAAATTAATACCCTTCAATCAATAAATTAATATTCTTCAAATTGCGATCATCACAACAATTATTGTACAGTGGATTAATTTTTCAAACTTATTCAATGAAACTTCGTTAGGTTTTGTTGTAATTACAAAACTAAAACAAGACAGAACCACATTCATCAAGAGCATCCAGCCCAATTAACATTTGCTTGGGAAGCTCTCAGATGTTATAAAACAACTCAGTGAAAAGAAGGGAAAATAATCCTTCAACATTCATGTTATTCAAAGGCTCAGAGAGTTGACCTGAAAGTTTTTTTACAAGAAGTTGTTTGTAAGCTGAAAAATTACAAATAATTTGCATCGCTAAAGATTGAAAAAGTACGTTGGCTTTATTGTAACGACTGTTGTTGTGTTGAAAGAAGTGAATTGCAATCAAATATTGTGGATAACGTTTACATAAAGTAGCCGCAATTACAGACTTACCTATGCCAGCATCAGCAGAAATAATAAATGCACGATTTTTAGAATTGTTGTCTTTGAAACAAGCTAAAAACTCTTCAAAAACCCATTCTCGTGCTCCCTCTAAAAATTTTTTATAATGATGACTAATTTCACTTTTAAAGTTACAACTTACAAATTTTTTGTTAAAATATTCTCTTAGGGAACTGAATTAAGTCCATGTTCACAAGCTTTGATTTCTTTGATATCGTCTCCTACTAATTCTAATTTATCTGTTACTATCACACCGACATCCTTTACGGTATTCGTAATTTGTGATTTTAAAACTTCTAAATCACTCTTTAATTCATCCCATCTTCTCAATATTCTTTTATTTTCTTCATTATTACATGACTCGCTCTTTAATCTATTTATTTCTTCCTGACTTATTCCTAAACGAACTAATGGTTCGCTTATTTCTACCCAAAAACTTTCAAATTCATAAGAGTTTACTGAAGTGTCAGGTAAGTGAGCAAAACGATCATTACGAAATAACCTGATACGGGTAATATCTGCTTCAGTTGAATAATCAGAGGGGTCATTTACTGACGTCCATATTGGATCGCGAGATGGTTTCAAACCACAAATATTACGCAGGAGAATACAAAGTAGAGTAATGTCAAACTTATTTTCATTTGGTAATACTGGAGAAGGAGGATACAGTAGATCCCATAGATGTGGCTTTATTTGCTTATCTTTTAGCAACAAAAGTTTATTATAATTTTCTGTGTCATTTAAAACAATAAATAAATCAGTACCTGACAGTTGTTTCCTCAATGTTATTCTTAAAGCTTCTCCACCAACATCAACAACTAATCTCATCAACTTAAAATCATTAGTTTTCTTTTTAGATCTCAAGACAGACTTCATGTCAATGTTTGCTAAAAAAAAGTAGGTCAAATTCTTATGGTACAAAATTATCGCGTTTATAATGAAAAACCTGATGTACAAGATATATATAAACTATGGTTAAGACTCAAAACATAAAATGTAGAGATGAATAACAGTATTCTTTAAAAGTCTAATATTTTCAGAGTAAAAGAATATAAAATATACATAGCAGGACTAAATATCACACTGGTCTGGTTATGCCACTGTTAATTTTATTCTTTAGAATGTCAAATTCCTAACCAAGAGCCAGATTTTAATAAAAAATGGTCAGCTATAACTTATTTGGACTAACGCTCGATTTGCTACTTAGTTCCTAAGAAGGAAAAATATAATTGGGTGAGGTGCTCATATTTATTTGCATGTGATAATCCACACCCAACAATGATTTTCAAAGGATCTCAACACATGCAACATATATCATGTTGTGTACACCTAAAACTGAAACTATTTGTTATTTGTTCGATTACTGTTGCAGGGGAAACTACACAAAAACTACATGAAATAACTAGCATTTGAAGAATAAAAATCCAAGCATAGGCGTACAAAGATGGATAATTGGTGGGGTGTACAATGTATTTGAAAAAAACTTAATACAACTGAACACATGATATACATAAAATAATATGAGCCCCCCCCCCAAATTATTAATCTTCCTGTACATGAATAAATCCAAATAAATAGATAAATCTTGTAAAAAAATTATATTTACCTAGCACACATTGTCTATGATCATTGATATGTTACAAAAGATGAAGAACACATTTAAAATATTGACTTTAGTATGTTATTTCAGAAGCAAATCAACACATATCAACAAACAAGTTTTATCAAATCAAAAGTTCAAAATATGTTGATGTACGTAACTAAGTGATGAAAAACCTCTACAACGATCATTTTAAGATTAAACGATGACCAAAATAACTTTTGAACAAGAACAAATCATGTTAAACACAGTGATTTAATGTTCTGCTTCAATTATATTCATTTCCTATACAATGTTTAAAATCTCTAACTTGAATATCTTGTTTATGTTTGTTGTATTTTTTGGTTGTACAATAACTATGTTTAAATGCTTATCACGAATAATAAAGCATTTTCAAACTAGTTATGCATGAGTCAATTCCAAGCGTTACCACCTCCCCCGGAATATGGCCAGGCATTTGATTTTTTTCGTTTTAATAGTTCAATTTCCCCGCTGCCGGCGAAAGGCAAGAAGGCAAATACTCAGCCCCCGGGCAAGCTGCCAATCGCAAATGCCCCGCTCCGGGACCAATTAATTTTAAATTACGAAAATTAGGAACACTTTTTAATATTTTATTAAACAAGATATATGAGAGATCCTATAAAAAATAAATGTAGTAAAGAAATTCGTTCCTGAGTTCCTTTCCCTTGCTCCGCTTTTCTCTTGTTGCTTTTGCTTTTCCAGCACCTCTTTTCCTGTTCACAGAAATTTGCGTCAAGTGCTGAAGCCACAATTTAACATCCTCGGTAGACAGCAAACATTTCTTGGCAAGCATGCTTATGACAGTATCCTCTACACATCCACCATTGTGATTCTTGTGAAAGTCTGCCAGTATTTCAGACGGCGGCCGGCTCCTTATAGCTTTGCCAACTGCATATAAATTTAGCAGCTCTGACACATCGGTGACATAATGCCATAGCAAACTCACGTACATGTTTCGCAATCCTCCACTCCCCAAGGTCCCTTTACATCAGCAACTGGGTAAGGAAAAAAACTACACGATGGTCCGTCTGGATACCAGGAGATGGGAATCGGTACTTAATGTCGCGATTAATAGAAATCACTAGTCGCGACTCGCGTACTCAAATGGTATCAAATCCCCGGGGGTATTATTGCCGGAGTAAATACCCGGCTCCCGAGCATCTCTTTTACGAGCAAATTCCCGACCCCCGAGAAAGGTCTCCAGGGCAAATGCCCAGGGGTATCCCGGGGGGGATGGTAACGCTTGGAATTGACTCATGCATTATAAGGTCGAATCATACCGACAATGGCCAATGTGCTTAGTTAATTTCAGATGAAAAACTGTCTATGGTTTGACAATAACCATGTTTAAATACTTATTACGAATAATAAAGCAATTTTCAAACTAGTTATAGGGTCGAATAATACCGACAATGGTCAATGTGTGTAGTAAATTTCAGAAAAACTGTCTTTGTTCTTCTTAGATAGATACGTAAACTAAATTTGATTCGAGTCGCCATCTAAGCATAAACAATCTTTATCTTACCGTTTTATTAGATGGAAGGAATAATTCTTGATATCACGATCATAAATATCCAGAAAAATGTTTTCAACTTTTAACGTTTACCTGGATGATAACATAAAGAATTTTAAATATTACTCACTGCAGGCTGCAGCACAAATTTAACTCCACACAAGACTCAGTTTTGCCAGATGAAATTTTAAAATATTTATGCTCGCTTGCGTTAAAAGTTCACAAAAACGGCAAAAAGTTCACATTACATCTAATTTTTAAGATCGGAACTCAACGGAAAGCCTCGGACTACCTCGGACACTCCCGGAAATTGTCGAAAACGCTTGGAATTACTCGGAAATTACCGGAAAACATCGGTTTATCTTAAAAATCCTTGTTTTAAAAGAATTGTCAAGCTACGAAGATTGCTCTTTCATTGAACTATGATTTATATATACTTTCTTTATGAATATGATGAAAATACAAAAATTCATAAAATTTTGAAAAGTTCACAAAAAGTTCACAAACTTTTAATGTTCATGAAATGTAAATGAAAAGAGCAAAAAGTTCACAAATCTGTGAACTGAACTTTGTTCACGATCTGGCAACACTGACAAGACTGACACAAGACGACCCATCTTTTGTCCACGTATATGCAAAGTCCGTTTACATGATCCAATTTGTCGGATCCGATTTCGTCGGATTAAGAAAACGGATCGTGTGAACACTTATAAAGTGAGCATGATTCCGATAGTCGGATCTGTCAGTCTGAAAAAACGGATTGAAATAGAACTTGCTTTATTATCTTAAGCAAATTTTTCTCCCCCTTGACAACCCCTTAAGAGGATCTTCTAAACACGTTACGCATTTTCATAAAGATTATTCCTTTTATTTTTGTAAGTAAAGCTATGTCAACATTGCTATTTTAGGGGCGGTCTCGATTTCACAAGTTTCGTCCAGCTCGCACATATGCCATGTTGTTCGTCATTTTACCTAAAGAAAATTGAGATTATTTCCGGTAAATGAAGTGACACAGACTTTTATACAGGTCCTTATTCCTTAACTAGTAAAGAAAACGCCAAGTTTACATAAAGTAAAGTGTAAAGATAATTGATCTGTAGTGTAGACGCATAGCTTAAAAAACAGCTTGTTGAAGAGCTTTGTCAATTTTTTCTGAAGCGAGAAGTGCAATTGAGCAGTTTAAAGAGGGGCTAAAAGGAAGTTATTACTTTATTAAAATGAAATCCACTTCTCTTCCGCCCATACCTCTGCAATCGTAGTAAGCCGCTGACTGCGGTAAACGTTGACAGAATATTTACGCCAGATTTTTCATAAAATGGTTGTCAAAGACGTGATGGAGAGGAGCTTGTTATAATGCATTGGCGCGACTATCTACAAGAGTGCGAAGGTACTGTACAAAATGTTTCGTCCAAATTTTTTCGATCTAAAAAAGACCTTTATCAAACGAACTACTTGTACCTCTAATAAGCGCCTCGTCTATATTAGACGCTTTGCACAAATATAATAGTGGATTGATGCTGCTCAGAAGTCAGAAACGTGCATTTAGTTTAACTTTTTTGCTTTGGTAACGTTTAAGTGATAGAAATGATACAAACGCTCTACGTACGACCGTTAGGGTTTATTTAATGCTCCAGGCGTTTATTACACAATGAACAATATTATTTTGCTATCAAACGTAACTCTTGAAATATAGCATTGTATATAAATTCTTTTTCACGAACAATACATTTCAAAAGTATCACTTTTTAACATTAAAGTTGCTTGTTTTTATTTTTCTCCACCAAACAGCGTTGCTACTGTTTCAGAGGCCCGCGTATCTTTGACGATGCTTATCATTTTTGCAACGGGGCTGGAGGAAGAGCCTCCGTTAGGATTTTATTTGTTTGTGGGAAATTGTTCGGCCAAAAAGCAACACATGCGCCAACGTATCGTATTTTCCACTCCACAATGACAAAGATAACCTTAGCTATAAAGAGTTTCAAGAAATGATGAACGATGGGATTTTGAACTCGCCCACATTTGTGTTCCAAAGTTTTTACATGGGGAATGACACTTTAAACCTGTATTTAGTTTACATACACTGTTATTTTTGAGGTGTTGAACTAGCACTTTCTCTAGTGCTAAACTGACACCCACCGGTGGTGTTAAATAAAAGGTGTTATTATAACACCAATATTGGTGTTGATTTAACAACATATGACCTTAAACATATTGTAGTGTGTTAAATTTACACCTCAACACTTTAACACCTAATTAATAGTGCTGAAATAGCACCTTGTTCTGCCACAAAGGTGCTAAAGTAACACTGTTTTTTGGGTGTTAAGTGGTTGGTGTTAAATTAACACCATGAGCAAGAGTTACAATAATTTATAAAGGGCGTTATTTCTGCACCACTCTCCTTGTAAAATCATGGGTGTCAAAATAACACTTATTTTAACGGTTTTTTTAACTTATTTTTATACTTATATCAAACTGCAGCTGTTTTCGTTCTGACATGGATAACAGAACAGTTGACTTATGCGTTCATTAAACAGCTTAAAAACTTCGTAAAAATAGCGGCAATACATATGTTATATTAAACAGAGCTGGATTAAGCATGGATTTTTCAATTTTAAACATGGCTGCGTTTTTAAGGCAGCTAGTTATACCAGACTTTAAAAGGTTAATGCTTGTTTGAGTAACCTTCGTAGCATTCTCAACGAAGGAATCAACAACAGTTTGAGGTACACGTCCTCTTTCTTTGAAATTTAACAAACATAAAGTATTCGCTCTAGTCCTCTAGATAAATTGTCCTGGTCAGCCATAATGTAAAACCCTTTTTCCTGTTCAGGGTCTGTATTATCAATCTCATGATTTTGATTAGCATCGTCGTTTCCCCTATCAGTATTCAACTCTGCGCTGCTCTTCGTATTGCGCAAGATGTTATGTTTTCGAATAAGGTAATTTCTCAATGATACAAATTTCTTAAACGTCCTGGCATAGCCATCGATGCAACAAACAACATGAAAATTTGGTTCACCACGATGAACACGGCCAATATGTGTTATTAGTAATTGAAGAGAATCTGAAACGAATTCTAGGCAAATATTACATCGATATAGACGCTCCATGACATAATTCACTTCAAGAATACAATTCCCTTCTGAAGAGAGTGCCGGCTCAACTCTGTTACCATATATGGTGTGAAATGTGATATTAGCGACTATATGCAAAAACGCGGTAAGATGCTTATAGCCTACTGTCACTGTCACACTGTCTCATATTTCATTTCATGATTTTCATCGTGATTTCATCTGTTTGTGCAGCGTTGTCAACTAAACGTAACAGTCAATATTACCAGGCTTAAAGAGCCATTGGATTTAAGTTATTTGGTTTCGACGATCTCCCTTTTAAAAAGGTAAATACAAAGCTTTTTTGAATGTATTTTCTTATGAAATTTCTTGTGACACATACTTCTCCTCGTGCTTATATTTCATGTAGAAATTTTTGTATTTGTGTTTTACAAATTTTTATGCGTTTAAGGTCGGATGGATTCCACGTTGCTTGATAATCTTAAGAAGGCAGGGGTAAAGGACAGTGTAATTTCTATTCTTGAAGATGAAGAGGTATGTGTATAAAATTAGTTTTGTTATGAGTGCGTGAATTTTTGCGTGTCGACGTTGTGACTAGACGACTTTTTGTTGCTTTTGTTAACACTGCTTGGTAAATATGGATTCCATACCGAAAAAACAATACTTGAATTTAGTGGGGAAAATTATTGAGGGAAATAAAGTGTAAAGATAAAAAATGACTGGGTAATCTAAGACGTCAAGCATTATGGGTGAAAATTCAACTGCCGTGGCCCCAAACTACAATAGACTATGAAGTAAAAATACCAAATCATTATTATTGCAGCATGCTAAGTTGATGTTCGAATAAATTACTTCATTTTTTTTTACTCCGGTCCGCGAAATCCTGGCAAATGTTAAAGCCAAAAATATAGCAGAAAACGTAAACATGGATGAAAGGGACGAAAGTGTTACGCATGAAATTCAAGATTACATTATGGCACAACGGCCATAACCGCTTGACAAAAAATAAATACGTTATTTACCGTTTATATTTCGGTCCGAATAGAAAAATAGTTCCACTTAAATCTACAATAGCAAAATGCGTATATTGTAAATATTAATTAGTTGGTTGTATATTTTGCAGATATAAGGAGTGCAGTTATAGCATTGATATTCAGGTTGTGTTGAATGAAAAATCCACGGCCAATTGCTTAGTTTTCAAGATCTGCTGCGTAAGTAATAGATACCGAAACTATATAGAAACTGCATGGATAAGATTTTATGTATGCTTTAATATAATATATAATTATATTACTGTCATGACATGACAATATTGTGTCTCACTTTCAATGACCTAATAATTCTAATTGTGTTTATGTTTATGCTGTTGTTTAGGAAGATGACTCTTTTGATGATGAAATAGCAAACACCACCTACCCACGACTAATTGGAACCGGAGAATTAGGGAGTCTGGACCCCCTTGTAATTGCTACCGAAGGGCAAATATTTTTAAATCTGTCAAAAAAAAAATATAGAAATTTCATTGTCTATAGTACTACTTCTAGGTACATTTTATGTACTGAATATGGAATATACACCAAAGGCCTGCAACATTTATGCCCTTTTGGAAGCAGTTTTGATGGGCAAGCCCGCAAATGCAAAGAAAAGGGTTTCAGTTCAGAAATTTGTGAAAAGTTTGGGGCTTTAGAGATTATAATATAGTAGTATTTCTAAGATGTTTTATATATTTAATTATATATATACATTCAGCTTTACTTGTTTCATATATTGACTTGTTTATAGTATGTTTTATGTTTTGTATATATTTATATGTGTGAATACATGCATATAAATCATCTCATTTTTTTAAATATATTTATTGCTCAGCATTTTTGTGTCGCGTGTTTAACTGGCCTTACATAAAACAATAAGAAAAAGGGTTACAAAATAACACCGAATTTAAGTGTCATTTTGACACCGGACGTTGAGGGCTAAATTAGGACTTTAACAAGTGCTATAATAACACCAAGAATAGGCGCTATTTTAGCACCAAACTCGGTGTTAATTTAACACCAGTAAGAAAATAGCGCCCGAAATGGTGTTATTCTGTACCTTTTAATTTAACACCACTTTTTAGTGTTAAATTAACACCTTAAAATTTACAGTGTACATATTTCACTCACATTTGCATTATCATCATCTTCCTCAGATCCACGACAAAATATTTCATACACCCGACAAGCTTTTTATGCTGCTCATAACATGTCGGATCTAATGTCAACTGATTTAATCTCATATTTCTGTACCATTGACATCTTCAAAAAGCAAAGTTCTTGCCCAATAGAGACAACATTGTATTTCACAACGCCATAGAGAATGATCCTCAAGTAACTTTAAACTTTAACTTCCACATTTACGATGAATGATTCAACTTGCTTTACGTTTGAATCCATATCTTGTGTTGTTAGCTCTTCATTTCAGAGTCAATCGTGTCTAGAAATGTTTAAAGTTTGCAACTCCACAAAAATTCAAACATCGCTGGTCACTCTTTCTCAGATATCATAACAAACCACAACACAGTTAGAATAAAACACAAGTGTATGGAAACAAAGCTATCATGAAAACAACATGCAAAAATATGAATTTTAAATAAAGTAGAAATCCAAAACCTTTTAGTTTCCTCACTCTTTTGACGCAAACAGTAATGGAAACTTTATGGAAACGTTTTGTGTTTTGTATTATAACTAGTTTTGATACAAACAATAGTCTGCACAAAAATCGTCAAATTATTCGTTCGGGAAAACGTCTTCCATGGTATAATTGCTTACAGCCTTAGTTCTTAATTGCTAACAGCCATCAGAAGATGATAAGAATGAAATGAAAATGGGGAATATTTGCCGGCAAAACTCTCATGGCAAATTTAAGACACATTCAATTTTTTACAATTCAATCAGACTCAATTTTAAGTGTCTGTATCAATTGCTAACTACTAACGGCTTACCTATAATGAAATGAAACAAAACTTTAAACCAAGACGCTTCTCCTTGACACCCAAACATTTAAGGAAGAGAAAATCAAACAGAAACTAGTGTATCGTGGCATAATAAGGAACCTGTATAAGAGTTTGGATTAACTTTATTTACCGGAAGTAATCTCAATTGTTTTTGAGTAAAATGACCATGACGAAAAACATGGCAAATGTGCCATTTCTTCAATACGGTACGAAAGTCATGAAATCAAGACTAACAATACAATTACACAATAAAAAGAAATCAAACGAAGTTTAGGATGCTTACTAAAGAATATAAATGTTACTTTTCCATCAAGATTATAATATTTTTTGTAATGTCTCTTAATTTCAATTTAAGTAACATCAACATTTTTAAGTTCTATCTACGTTCTTTTGTTGTTTTCTCACAGAGGGGGATCTAGACTATGTCAAGTCCGTCGCGCGACTGACGTTTGAAATTCAAAAATTACCTATTCATTTTAATTAAAAATTCATTAATTATTCTTACTTTATTATTGCATTTACTTCGTGATAAAAATCCAGCTTTATTTATTATCGAAAACTAATGAGTAATCCAATGAATATCTCCTTGGTAACCAGATCAGTTGAATTTTAATTGACCTGGAATAACCGACTGATAAGCGGGGTGGCTTGACTGGTTCGACTGATAAAGGAGTCTATGATCGCCAAAAACGCTTATTTCATTGGTCAATAGCCAGATCAGTGGACGATCTGGAATAATCTCGACCGATAAGCAGGGTGGTCCGACCTATAAGGGAGTCCACTTGCTATCGTGTAATTGGTTCGTTTAAATTTTTGTCTTACTGTGATTGGTTTGACCGATTTCGACTGATAGCCAACTAAACTAACATAGTCAAGCTCACTGTCTGAATTGAATGTTTGATCGTTTCATAGTAATTTTCTAAAGCATGATAGAAACTAAACTACAATCAGATGGAATTTATGGAAATCTTTTACAAATTCATATATTGACATGAATGCTGCTTTCCAAACTGGGAATTTTTTCAAGAGGGTGAAAAATTTATGGATGAATTGTAAATGCTTGGCAAAGACGATCTCGCGAGCGACATTTCAGTCATTGATGTTCAAAAGCAAGGCAACATTGTTTTGAGTTTCATCAGCAGAAATTTACATCCAAAATCGTAAGTAAAGGACAAGTGAAGTGTATGCATGAATGTAATATATCAAAGTCAATTTATGCAGGGGCGGATCTAGGATTTTTCAAACATCAGTCATAAAACGTCGGAGGCTCTCCGCACCTGGGGGGGTCTGAGGCATTCTCCCCTGAGAAATTTTGAATTTCAGAGTCTTGAAAATGCCATTTTCAGCGTTTTAGAGCAATACAAAATGTATTTTGTGGGCATCGTTTTTGCGTAAAAACTACACATTTTTCTTACGTTTTTTTAAAAAAAAAAATAAAGTGAACAATACTTGAATGTTTTGCCAAATATTTAGGCTCATTATCATGCCAAATATATGGCTCATTAGCATGTCTAGGAACGTAAATTTATTTTACAATAATGCTATTCAAAAACAGATATATTCTTTAAAATTTCTACCAAGTTGTCAGGCATAGACCCCCCACAGACCCCCATTCAAACCTCTATGTAATAAGTTAAGTTAGAAATTTGGTACTACAAGTGACAGTTCATAGATATAGAAAAGCTCAGACTTCAAACCATGCAAGTTTATTGTAACTCTTTACCCATCTCCACATCAGTGCCAGCAAATTCACCCTTTGAGAAAAACTCAAAATTTTTTTCTGCCAAAGATTAAGCAAAAATTTATCAGAGTGAAAATTTGCAGTTAAAGTTAGCTTAATGCCATAAATGTTTATTAGGCATTTCACTAGACTATTATCTTCTGCAAGGTGTGCTATATAGCAATCACTAGTAGCATTGTATTATCAAATACAAACAGAATGTAACCAACATGTCTTTAATTATATAATTACATGAATGTTAAAAATGGTTTATGTGTCATGCTCACTGGCTATGATAAATATCTTTTCATATGATCAAAGCTTGTTTAAATGTAAATCTAAAATAATTTAGTTTAGAAATTATAATGATCATTAGAAAAATTACCTAGTGATCATGAAAAATACTTTGCTGTTTTGCCAAATTTCAAGGTTTATCTGCATACATAGGAAGACATTTTTACTTTATAGAAAATGCTTTTCATACATCAATAGACCTTTGGAATTTATGGCAAAAAATCTGGTATGAGCCGTAGATTAACTCACCTTTACATCTCTACATGAGGTGTTCAGTTAGAAAAGGGGACAATATGTGACATGGGACAACATTTCATGTATGTGAAATACTCAGGTTTAATACCATTCCAGTCAAATTGTCAAAATAAAAAGCTTAATGGATCAGAAGACTCAAAATCACAGGTTATAGTAAACAGCTTCTCATGTAATCAATGTTAGTTTTCTCAAATCTTAAACAATATGTAGTATAACTGTCCAATGATTGAATGATCAATGATCATAAACTGAAAAGCCCCAAACATTTGTTTATGATAAAGTAAATAATAGTATGGCTGCATGGTTTTAATGTCAAAGACTTTCATAAACATAAACTCGTTACTTGTTAATAACTTATCAGCTGATGGTGAAAAATCTGCGTGATTAAAACTGCGAAATCTATGTATTGGCCAACCATCAACTAGTTTATCTTTGTGCCACAAATAGTAAGTGTTTTTGTATTCAAATACCGTTTTCGCAAACACGTGGTACTTAGAACTACATGCAATTACGTGCACATTTCGATGATTTTCAAAATTCACAGATATTTCTTTTCGTTTGTTTTCAATATTGACAAACACAAAAGAATCAGTTTTTTGACAAGCAAATGATACATCATTCACCTCAAAAATTTTGTTTGTATCTTTAACTTCATCGAAACTATAAACAAGTTTTTTCAAATCATTATTCCAAAGCTCAGGAATAGCTTTTGCCGTAAGCAAAATGACTCCATTTTCTACGGCAACCATGCCATTAACAATACGTTCCTTGTTAACAAAGTCTCCTGTAGTGAGATTGTTGACTATGACGCATGATTTTTTTTCATCTCTCCGATACAGAAAGTTGCCATTTGAGCAAACTATCTGGTTATCAAGAACCAAAGATTTTGTTAAAATTGTGCGCGCTATTGAAACAAGATGAGAAGCATGTCCATAATCAAATAAAAGTATATTGTTATCATTCAATAAATAATAATGATATCCTGTGAAATTAATCAAAGAAACGCCTAACATGTTATCATCAAAGGGATCAAGCGAAGACAAACCAAATTTACGCTCAAGATCTAACCCAGGAAGTGCCTCTTGACTAGGATTGACAATGAAAACTTTCTTATTATCAGACAAAGCACAAGACCAAGAATGAAGACCAACAGTGGAAAGAATACGAAGCTTTCTATCATAATAGCGATAGCGCTTTGCATCATTTTCAAAAGGTGAACAATCGAATAGCTTATAATCCTTCGTTACGTCAAATGTTTGAAATACGTTTTTTTCATCAATGACACCCAAATATTTTTTTGAATTGGAAAAACACAGGGATGTCACATTGCTGCATATAACACTGTGCATCTTCTCACCTTTCTCAACGTCCCATACAGTCAAAATATCTTTGTAACTAGTGACCATTGTGTACTTATCCTTGGAAAAACAATAGTTGGTAAAAAACTTAGAAGTTGAATCATCACAATGAAACGGACTTGAGACAATTTTCCTGTTAACATTTAGAACCTTATCCAATTGGGAAACGAAGATCAGATCGGTGAAAGGATGAAAGACAACGCAAAATCCTTTCAATTCACTTAGACTTAACTGATCAAATACATCTTT